CCTTGATGAAGGTGGCGAGAGTGTGTGATGGCAGTGTGCTTCGCCTCCCTCGGCGATGGACAAACCTCCCTTCAGGAAGCCACCCTTTCAATGAAAACGGCCCAGGACCGAATCCGAAAAACCTGGACCCGCAAAAGTGACGGCCGCGGCGCCCTCTCGCGCACCGAAAACGGCCAATCCGCTGATCGACGTGTCAGGGTAGGTCTACCAACCTCCGACTGCCTCCCCCGCAGGGGCGGGCGCAGGGGAGGAAAGGGTGGAAGGCATTCGGGACACCAGGCTTCCCAGGCAAGTATGGGGGGCTCATCGAGCGGCACGTTCGTCTTTGCGAAGCCACACCTCGATGCCACCCTGGCCAGCCTCTCCTGGGACGCACAGGGCAAGATCAGTACGGTGCCAGCGCGGCCGCAAGAGATCCCCGCGAGGAACCCAACCCTGAAAACCCGTGCGCGAGGTGCACCTGAGGGGAAACCTGGAGCACCCTGAACGCAGCAGCTCCTTCCACGGCCGCGCAGCAAGTCTCCGCGCAGCGCGCGGAGCGAAGAAACCCAGGATGCCCTGACGAAAGGCACAAGGTTTCTTGATGCGCGCCCCCCCTGTACTGCAGGTCCGTGCCGTGTCGACCCTGGCGTTGGTTCCTGACACCGCGCTGGATCGTTCAACCTTGAACGAGCGGCCGTCTCCGCAACGTCCGATCGTTCAACATCGACCGATTCTGGGCCGCCGTCGGCGTTCAAAGTTGAACGCCCGCGCTGGGGTCGCCGCTGGTCTATGGCTCCCAACTTCGCGCTTCGCGCTCCGCGAAGCGCGAATAACTTCGCGCTCTCGCGCCGCCCCCCCAAAGGGAGAAAAGGAGGACGAGGAGGAGGGGGAGGAGAAACGAGGACCGCGAAGTGCGAAGCGCGAATAACTTCGCGCCCTCGGGGGAGCCCTTGCTGGTCGACACGACGCAAACCTACCGTACTGTGTGTCCTCCTCGGAGGCGTGCGAACACCGTGCAGCACATCTCTTCTCGAGCGCCATGGCCAGCAGGCGCCCGCCACGGAGCCCACCCCTACTGCGGGATGCCCCGGAGCGCGCGCCGCCCCACCGGGGGTGCGACGCGCGCATCGCGTCAGCACGCCAGGGGGGGGCGCAGAGCTCGGCGGCGAGCCTTCTCAGGAGCAGGAGGAGGAGAAGGAGGAGGAGGAGGAGGAGGAGGAGGAGAGACAGGAGGAGGAGGAGGAGGAGGAGCAGGAGGAGGAGGAGGAGCAGGAGGAGCAGGATGGGGGGCGCCAGGGGGGGGGAAGCGAGCAGGGGCCGGGCCTTCTCGGGAGGCTCGAAGAGCCCCCCCCCGGCCTCCCGAGGGAAGTCCTCGGAGCCCTCCCCGGCGACGGGGAAAACCTCCTTCGAAGGCCCGAGGGCCTCTGCGAAGTCCCCTCGCTCCTCCTCCCTCCTCCTCCCTCCTCCCCTCCTCCTCCCTCCTCCTCCCTCCTCCTCCCTCCTCCTCCTCTTCCTCCTCCGAGAAAAGCCCTCTCCTTCGCACTACCCCCCCCTCTCGCTCGCCGCCGCAGATCTCCTCCGACCTCCTCGGTCTCCTCCGGCCACCATCGACCCCCCTCCCCCTCCTCCCCCGCCAGCCCTGTTCTGCCGTGTCTTCCTCCTCCCCATCCTCCTCCCTGCCCCCCTGGGATGCCGATTCGCGGTCGGAACGGACGGGTGCAGCGCAGCGGTGTGTGCCAGCGGCGTGTGCTGCTTCGCCTCCTGCGCTACCAGGCGACGAGTGGAGCAACCAACCGATGCGCCGAGAAATGGGGCACAGTCATGACCTCCCCCCCTCCTTCCACCCCATCGTCGCCAGGTGACGAGTGGAATCTTATGATATGGTTTACGACCCTGTGTGATGCCATGTAATGAATCGAGTCGAATAATGTGTATGTGTGTGTGTGTGATCCGCCCTCTGCGTTGCCACGTGAAGAATGGAGCGTAATGATGCTTGTTCCGTCAGCCTTTGCTGCCATGCAACGAGTGGTTCAGAACATGTTGTGATTCCGCTCCCCCTGGGGTTGCCATGCGACGAATGTCGGGGAGACGTAAGACCCGGGTACGGGGGACTCGGAAATCCCCGACGAGGTCGTCAAAAAAATGACGAGGCCGAGCCTGCATTTTGACGAGGCCTCCCGCTGCAGACATCCCACGGAACTCCTCCTCGTCAAAATCCGAGTCGCGGTCGTCAAAAAAAAATGGCGAACCCGAGTCCCGGCAAACCCGGGTCTTACGCTCCCCCGAGAATGGAATGGGATCGCCGTTTGTTGCGCGCCCTCGGGTGGCCAAATGGAATCAATATGTCCTCTTTTCTCTGCCCTTGTGAGGCCACGTGGTAAGTCAGGCGGAACACTATTTGTTGGTATGGCCACCCTTAGTTCTGAGGCCACCTCAAAGCCTCCGCGGAGCCAAAGGGTACAACATGGGTGAGAGGTGCTCCGAATCGAGCCTCAGCCGAAAGCCTCTGGAGGGATCTGATTGAGCACGAAGTGCGTGAGAGGTGTGCCGAATGAGAGATCCATTCAGTCATCTTAGGGTCTGAGCCGAAGGCATCTCTGGGAGGCTAGGAAGCACGAAGTGCGTGAGGAGCGCGCCGACTTGAGTCTCAGCTGAAAGCGTCTTGGATGGCACGCATGAGAAACAAGGCAAGAAGATGAGGCCAATGATAGTAACGATGATGTTGATGATGATGCTGCTGATGATGATGATGATGATGATGATGATGAGGAGGAGGAGGAGGAGGACCAGAATGAGAACGGGGGACAGTGACAATTTGGATCAGGATGAACAGAAACAGGGGAAATGGTAATCATGAGGAGGCTACTTATGATGAGCGGGAGAAGGAGGGAGAGGGCGATCATACTCAGGATGAGGGTGAGCATAAAGAGGAGGGGATGACGATGATAATGAGCAAGCTCAGGAGCAGGGATACTACGAAGATGACGAGTCGTCTAGAATAGTTTGGTTGTCTGGCTAGCCAAGGGTTGCCATGCGACGCGCGCGCTAAGGATTACTCAGGATGCCCTCAGGATGCGAGGGTATGCTGGATCCCGATCGTTCTCGATTGTTTCTGGAGATTTCGCGTGTAGCCCATACCATCGCACTGATGTTCCAAGAATTTGATCAGGATTCCTTCGGACACCTAAGCAATCCGAAGGTCTCTGGCAGGCCTGGTCGTCATTTTCGTCGTCGTCGTCCTCCTCCTCCTCCTCATCGTCGTCGGTCTCGTCGTCATCGTCTTCGTCGTCGACCTCGTTCCCGTCATCGTCGTCGCCCTCGCCGTCGTCGTCGTCGTCGTCGTCGCCATCGTCGTCGTCGTCGTCCGCGTCGTCGCCGTCGTCATCCTCGTCACCTTCGTCGTCGTCGTCGCCTTCGTCGTCGTTCTCGTGCCGGGTGGGCGGGCGTGCGCGTGCGCGGGCGGGCAGGCGGCAGCGGACGGGCGTGCAGGCGCGAGGGAGCGCAGGCGGGCGGGCAAGCGGTCAGGCGCGCGAGCGGGCGGGCGCGCGAGCGAGCGGGCGCGTGGACGGGGGGGGGGGGCAAGCGACTGGCCGGCAAGCCAACCAACCGACCGCACAACCGACCAGCCAACCGCTCGACCGACCGACCAGCCGAGCAACTGGTCAACCAAGCAACTGGCCGACCAACCAACCCACCAGGCGAGCGGCTGGCCAAACAACCTGCCAGCCAACCTGCTTCCTGAGGATACCTCACGCGGCGGACCCAGGGACAAAATTATCCGAGCAGAAATAAATCATTCAAGCTCTTGGGTTCAGTTCTTGAACCCAGGACAACAGGAACAATCCTGAGATGTGTATGCATGCATGTACTCATACACTAGATATATGCATGTATGCATGTGTGTCTAGATGTGTATGCGTAAGTATTTATGTGTCTATATGTATTTATATACGTATGCATATATATATATATAAAAATATATGAAATGTATATGCTACCGTGCCCTTGAGGCATGATAAGGATTGTCGGCATGTCCTTGTCCTGATCCCCTTGAAAAGAACGCGGACCCCAAATTGCCAAATCTTCCAGGGCTTGCCACGTGTCCCCTGGGGCTCCCGGAGTCTTCCGCATTACTTGTTCTGGCACATGAGGGCCCCAAGTCGGGTTAAGAGAACCCCAATAGGCCGCCCAGACGGCTCAAGAGTGCCCCGAATCGGCGCACGATCGGTCCAAGACGCCCAAGATGGCCCTACGACGGCCCAAGAAGCCTTCGAGGCGTCCACAGAGAGCCCCAAGAATCTTCCCAAGAGCGCCCGACAAGCCAAAATCATTGATTGTCCATGGGTCTTTCAAAGTTTTTGGAGCCTCGACTTTTCGAGCTTCCGACGCTCCAAGACGGCCCAAGAGGCCTCCATTCCGCCCCAAGACGGCCCAAGAGACCCCAAAGAGGGCTCCATCACGGCCCCAGATGCGCCGAAGACGACCCAAGAGGGTCCAAAGGCAGCCACAGGCTCCCAGGAAGCCCAAAGGAAACCCCAAGAGGCCCCAAGAGACCTCCAAATGGCCCCCACGACGCCCAAAGATGCCCCCAAACGACCCCCACGAGGCCTCAAAACGGCCCCCAAGAGGCCCCCGAGAGGCCTCCCGCGACATCCCACCGAACATCCTAGAGGCCTGTGACCCACAACCCATGCACGGCGGATCGATGGGCCGAAGGCCACTCGATGATGTGAGCGACGATCAAAAACGGGTCATTCGATAATGTGGGCCGAAGGCCATTCGATATTGCGCGCGGGATGGCACAGCGACCCTATGCGGTGGCTTACGCAAGCCGCCGGCGCGGCAAGATACGGTGGAGACCGGAGCCCGTCCGCGCGACCCCTGCGAGGGCAGCCTACGCGCCAGTGTCGGCGCAGACGACCCCGCTGTTTTGCGTCGCTCGCGCGTCCCCTTCCTCTCGCTGCGCTCCGGCCGCGTGCGCCCCCGCTCCCCACGGCGCGGCGCGGGGGCAGGGCCGCCCAAGCTGGTGCCACTCAGCGCGACGGCCGCGTGCACGGAGACCGCCTGTTAGCCAGGCCCTCCTCCTCCTCCTCCTCCTCCTCCTCCTCCTCCTCCTCCTCCTCCAGTCCTCCTCCTCCTCCTCCTGCTCCTCCTCCTGCTCCTGCTCCTCCTCCTCCTCCTCCTCCTCCTCCTCCTCCTCTCTCCTCCTCCTCTCCTCCTTCTCCTCCTCCTCCTCCTCCTCCTCCTCCTCCTGCCTTTCATCCTTGAACTGTTTCCGCTCCTCCGCCTCCTCCTCCTCCTCCTCCTCCTCCTCCTCCTCCTCCCCCTCTTTCTCCTCCTCCCCTCCTCAGGGTGTCCTCGGAGAGGCCGACAGCCCAAGAGCGTGTGGAGCTCAAGGAGCTTCGCTCATCTCCCGCGGCGGTGTGCCGAACCCGCCACCGCGCTCTGCAAGCGCCCTGCGCTTAACAAGGGATACGTCGACCCCTATCCCAGGCGGTTTCGTGGGGTTTCCGAATGGACCAGAAATTTTGGGCCCAACCGTGGGATGCACGATGGGGGGGCGTCCATCCTCGATAGGGGTGCGTCTGAATAGCCTCCATTGCTGTGTATCCAGGGGGAGGGCCATCCTCGATAGGGGGCCGAATAGCCCCCACTGGCATTGGGGTGTTTGCCCAGGGTTCCTCCTTTTCTGAGCGGTTCCATTTTTCGTTGAAAATTCGGGGGAGGGCGGGGGGGGGGGGAGAGGGGGGGGGGTCGTACTCTCTGGGGCAGCTTCCGAAGCAGCAGCTCGGGCCCCCCAACGACGTTCAACAAACGTGCATCTTGGAGGGCGGCGGCTGGCTGGGCCGGTCGCCCTCCTCCTCATCCTCCTCCTCCTCATCTTCCTCCTCCTCCTCCTCCTCCTCCTCCTCCTCCTCCTCCTAGGAACGACTACACGAGGGCCTGAGTCTGGTACCGATGCCAGGGCCCTTAAATGAGGAAAAGGGGCAGGATAGCTCACTCTGGACTGGGCCTAGACTCGTCTGGCCAGGCATCCCGATTGGGCGGGAGGAGTCCTCTGGCGAGCTTATCCAATGCTTTCTTGCCAGCTCCAGTCGGGCGCTGGCAGGCCTTCCCCAAAGTGTTGAAGCGGGTGTGCCCCGAACCACCACACACCTCGCACCACCACAGCCCGCGCAGGCACCGAATTCGGTGAGAGCTGTGGATCTGATGGGGAAGGCCTCGACACGGGGCAGCTAGCCACTCGTTGGTGGGAAGCTGGCGGGTTGGTGCCGTCAGGCATACAGTGCAAAAAGAAGAGCCTCGCCTTGGAACCACCTGGTGGGTAGAAGCCTGGCGGGCGTCCATTCGAGCAGCGATTCGTTCATCTCGTCGCGCCCTGCGGGCTGCAACCAGGTCGGCTGGGGTCGGGGCTCCTGGGGCCTTAGCATCAGCCTGCCTGGCCAGGACCTCAGCTACCTCGAGCAGATGTTCCAGGACCTTCTTGGCCAGGGCATCGATTCGAGCGACTTCGGCGAGCGAGGCAGGGGGCAACTGGGCAAGGGCGGCCCCCCTCTTGGCTGCCTCGTCAGCAGCCTCATTACACATGAATTCGGCTTCTGAAACATGCCTGCCTATGTCAGCCTCCGTGAGGTGACTCTTAATGTTCTGAAACTGGGCTTCTCCTGGCCTGGAATTATATTCATGCCAGAAGCGGGCCCAGGCAGCCGCATGCAGAGGCTGCACCCGGCTGGGACCCCCGTGGATCGCTTTCAAAAGGTAGGCACAGTCTACGACGAACGTAGCTGGGCCAGCCGTGTGTTTCAGGGCCTGCGTGAGGCCCTCAAGTTCCGCGAGGGGCACCGCCTGGTGCCTTCCCAGGAGTGGGCCCCAGGCTTCCCCTTGGATGGCGCCCTGGGCCCAAACAGCAAAACCCCAGCCGCACCTACGGGGCCTCGGGTCACTGGTGTAGTCGCCGCCGCTGCGGTCAGCACCCACAAAGGCATCTGGGGGAAGCTCCATGCGCTGGTCCTGGGCGATACCTCCTGAGCATTCGAATTTCCATTCGGGGAACTTGTCGATGTGGGGATAAATCCAGAGAGTCAGAACAATTCCACGGTGCCAGAAACAAGCCCACTCCCCATGCTCGCCTTGGACCTGAGGCAGGAGGTCGAACGCCGTATGCTCTGTGGACGCCAGGCATGGGCACAACCGCTGCTGGTGCAGGATATCTTCGACGGGGAGCGGGTAGTGGCGTGCAGCAGCGCACCGAGGGCATTTTTGTCGATCGGGCTCGGCAGGAAAACGACGATCTCCTGGCCACCGCGCGCCTGTAGCGATACGTTCGAGCAGTGCGGCGTGCCCATGACGCTGCGCACGCCGATGGGCACGGATGAGCTTCAAGATAGCTGCGAGATCGGCCCCATGTTCGAGGCCTTTCCCACAAAAGTGATGGGCTGCAAAGTCCCGCCAAATCTGCTGCTCGAAAGTGCCCTCAACCTCGGCCAGTCCACACTGCTGCCATCCTGGTTTAGATCCCGAAACCGCCTCCAAGTAGAACTGGGCTCTCTCAGGTGGGGCCTCGTCGGGGACCAAGTAGTAGGTATCTCCGTAGGGGTCCTTCCACTGCCAGGGGAGTTGGGGGTCCCATCCGCTCTGAAGCAACGTGGTAACAAGAGCAGCTCTGGGGCCTCGGACTTTGCCCCGCGGGTGTACTGCAGCCCGCGTGGCCTCGACGCACTCAGTCCAGGCAGCTTGGAACGCAACCCGCTCGCGCATGAGAGCCGGAAGAATGTGCAGCCATGTCTTGACCATGTCGTGCCGCGCAAAGAACAGAGGGTCGCCTTTCTTTCCAGGGCCAAGTCGGATAGCTACTGTTGCACAGCCACCAGCTCTCTGCTTCCCCGTGAGTGCGGCCATCTTGGACCGAAGCTGCTTCAGCGCAGTAGGCGAGGCCCCTTGTGCCATCATTCCCCAAGAAGCTTGTGGCTTGACCCCGGTGAGGTTGAGCTTGCTGGCTTGGCTGTTGGCTTTCAGGAGCTTCTTGACCCGCTCGGCCCTGGCGAAAGCCTTCTTCAATCTACCTTTCGCAACCTTCGTAGATCGCCGTCCTGAAGCAAAGTCATGTCCGAGGTCTCTCGTCTTGGTGGTCAGCTGGACATGGATATCAGCCTTCTGGAGGGCCTTGTGGATCCCCTGGACCAGGACCTTATTGCTACCGAGGAGCTGGGACTTTCCCGAAAGACGGAGACCTCGGGCTCTCATGTGGTAAACCAAGTCGATGGCGCCCTGGGTGGTGAGCCGATGTGCGATGGCCTTGGGACCTCTGGAGGACAGGGGGATATCGTCGACCCAGGTGCTGATCTCCATGGGCCTGCATCGTGCATGCGCCGCATCAAGCATGTCGTGTAGATACGCCCGCGCCCAGCTAACACTCTGCATGCACCCCTGGAGGATGGAGCGCTCGACCGAGATGGAGTCTGAAGCCTCGCGCCCTAAGATGAGGACCCTATCTGCGGTGTGCACGCACATGCCCATGTACATGGTGTGTAATGGATAATCAAGTGCTTTGCCTAGGGTATATATCCAGAAAGGGCTGAGCGCGTCGAAAAACTTTTCCGCATCAAGGAGCAGGGCGGCCCAGTCGACCGAGATCCAGCTCGCTGCTTCGGCCTTGGCGTGCCTGAGGAGGGCCGCCTTCAAAGGGTCCGAACCTCGCGCGGCTGCATCCCAGAACCCTGCTTTGTGTTTCTCCCAGGTGGCGACAACATCTTTCCTGAGTCGGGACCAGGTGCGGTACAACCCTTGGGTCCGAGTGATGGGTCTGCCCCCTTCCCCTGTGGGTTTGGGATGCATGCCAACTTCATTCAGTAAGATCTGCTCTGGCCACGCGCAGGCGCGCTCGATGTCCTGCAAGAGACCGACTAACTCATCGCGCGCCTCCCCAGGCAAAGCAGCCCAGAGCTTGGGGTTCCACTGGTCGGCCCCCATGCCCATAAAGCTCGGGAAGGCCTGGCGCGCTGCCAAGACCTGTGGGACTTGAAGTTCTGACAGTTCAGGTACCTGGGCCTGCGCTTCCTGCCGACAAACTTGCCACCAGCTCTGCGTAGAGGGATGCCCTTGGCCTCCAGGGTCCTTCCAGAGTGTCTGCCGTCGAGTCTGCTTGGTCTCCAGAGCCTCCGAGGGGTCCCAGAGTGGGTCCCCTTCCGTGTCCAGCTCTTGGGCTGGCATGGCCTCTGGGTGGCCCTATGTGGTTGTATGTCGATGAGCCCACTTGGCCCCCCCTCGGAGGCTCTGGGAGAGCCAATCCTGGAACCCAGCTTGTTTATCCCGATAGACTTCATGATCGGCACGGTCTCGGAGAGCCTTGCACTTCTTGGCCAAGTCTTTGAATCCGTCCTGGGATAGTTGGGGCATCTGCTGGGTCTGCATCTGGATGTCCTGAATTTCTGAGGTGATCTGGAGGAGGTCCTCCTGAGATCCCTTGGGAACATTATACTCCTGGATGCTTCCGAGTTTGGCCTGGAGGAGCTCTTCAACTTGTTGGCGCTTTGCCGTCTTCCCTGGGCTCTCCTTTCCGATACGGAGTCCAAGAATGTCCTGAAGTCGCGCAACCATACATTTCCAAAGAGCCAGCTTATGTGTGCCCCCATGTTGTCCGCTTTGTTTGGCTGGTGGCATGGCAGGTCTCACCGTTAGGCCTGGAGAGCAGCCGCGGTGGTGCGCGAGGTCGCGCACGCCAACAAGCTTGGACTTGCGCAGCTCCTCAGCTGCACCTGAAAAGAGAGCATACCTGTCAGTAAGAGCTGGATCGGTACAGGGTTCGGCAGTGAAATACTCTGTTCGGGGCCGGCTTGGAAGTCGAGCACGAGCTTTCTCCAGGAAGACTTCCCAGGCCAGCGTAGGCCCTTGCGCGCCCAGGGGAAGCGCTACTGGCTGGGCGAGGACTTGCATCTGCCGTCCCCTGAAGGCCCCTGCCAAGCTGCCGCGAATGCCACGATGTGGATGGGCCCATGGCCCCTCTAGGTCATACTCCAAGGTGAGGTCAGGAACGAGGTGGGAGGAGACCAGTCCGAAGTCGATCATCCGCTTGCCGAACTCCCGAGAGGCCCCTTCTGGAAACACAAACCTGGCGTCGAGGTAGTCCTCAATCCCAGACTCCCGAACCTCCGATACTTCCATATTCCAGTCGGCTAAGAGGACGAAAGGAACCCCAGTGGCCTGGATTTTGCTAACCATCTCCTCTAGCATCTGCATGTTATCCCCCGAGGGGCCCTCCCCGAAAGCGAAGTAGGCGGAGAGGAAGAGGAGCGCGTGGCCACGCAGGCGGACCTCACGCGCGGCCCACATGCCGTGCCCAGAAGCTGGCTGAGACCATTCCGCTCGTCGCAGTCGGATGGCCCCGGAGCTCAGGTGTGCGCCGACGGCGACCCAAGCACCTCCACGACCGAGCTCCCCCTGCACCTGGGTCTCGTTGGCGGGCCCGGCCTCAACCTTCCAGTGCGCCTTGCTAAGCTTCTTGATCGCTGCATGCAACAGTGGCCCTCGTAGGTGAGTCTCTGCGCCAAGTTGGACATGGCACCCTTCATCATCGCGAGTCTTATAAACGTAGTCGAGCCCAGTCTGGTTCCACTTGGTGTAGTTGGCGAAGTAGAAACGTACTGAGTGAAGGTCATGCTTGTGATATCGCTTCATCTTATCACGGCTGGCCTTCGCATGCTCCTGGGGCGCCTGAGCGCAGGGCTTCGCCTCCAGGGCCTCAGACGGACAGACTGCGCCAGGAAGAGGAGCAGCAGGCTGCTGCCCCTCGGCCTCGTCAGTGATGATGGGCGCGGCGTCGGGCTCTGGGTCGCCATCGTAGCCGGCTGTCGAAAGCGTCGACGTCGAAATCCAGCTGGTCGAAAGGGTCACAGTCCCCGTCCATGTTGGTCTTTCTGTGGCTGCTGTTGTCCGTGTTCAGCTCAGTGCCCTTCTGCTTCTCGTCATCCGTGCCCACTCGCCCGCGCTGAGCGTTATCGGCTGCCGTAGAAGGAGTTGTCGCTGACCGAGCCCCTGGGATGGACTGCGCTGCCGCGTCGGTGCCTTCTCTCCAATCCCCGTAGCACATGAGTTGTGACATAAAAGGAAAAGGCCCCAAAAACGTGCAACAGTTTTCCTTCCACAACGGTCCTCGCCAGTACTTGTGCCGCCCCTGCCTGAGCCATCACTCTCGGCCAGCCTCGAAGGTGCAAGGCCGAAGCCCAGAGCATTAAAGTCCCCTGCCGACGACGGTCTGGCGAACATGGCTGACTCAGGCAGGTCGGCGTGGGCCCCCGCCAAAGCGGAGCGTCCTCTGGGCGAAGTAGACGATGGGGCCACCGAAGGAGAGAGGGTCCACACCTGTGATGACTCTGCCGATGACCCAGTCGACAAAGAGGCTGAGGGAGACGGAGTTGCCGTGGACCCAGTCGACAAAGAAGGCCCACCTGTCGTCGTCATCTGCGTCGCTCGTGTCTCCAGCCCAGGGGGATGCACGTCCCTGGCCAGCTGGAGAGGGGTACTGGCAGCTGCTCCCCACCGTCGCCGCCGATGAGCTGCTGCTGGTTGAAGTAGTTCTGGTGCTTCATTCCCCACTGAATGTAGCTGGTCTTCTGGTTCTGGTGGCTGGGCCACATCATGTGGTCGATAGTGTCGATCCCCTGGACACTGCACATCATTGGCATCAGCTTGGAAGTAGTGGTACGTGGGGCGCTCCGCGAAACGCACCTGAGCTGCGCGCTGGGTGAGCCCTGGGCTACCCTCGCGTCGGGCTGGCGTCACCTTTGCTGGCACCCTTGCCCGCCAGCACCGCAGCGGCGCGCTCCTTGGCTGTCTGGGCGGGCTGCTGGGGGGCGCCCACCTCGCTGCCTGGGGCGGCGCTGCCAGGGGCGCCACCTCCAGAGCTGGCGGCACCAGCAGCAGCGGGCTCAGTTGCAGCGCAGCCACCGTTGCCACCAGGAGGAGGAGCAGACTCCGCCCTAGGCCGCTTAGCCTTGAGGCGCCTCTTCTGCTCCTCGTGGGCTCTGCGGGTGGCATCGCACTTCTCTTTGGCCGATTTGAGGAGCTCTGCGGCGGCAGCCTGCATGGCGGTCTTGAGCTCCTCCTTGCGCTTGGCGATCTCGGCTTCGTCTTCGGTGCCCAGCTCGTACTCCTCGCCAAGGTCGAACATGTCCCCGCAGTCAATGAGGTCGTCGGCGCTGAGCTTGCCCTCGAGCAGGGACTGCAAGTCGAGCTTGGAGGGGTTGGCTTCCTTGGGGCCGAGCTTGGTCTGGTATTCTTCCTCAAGGACTGTCTTGTACTCAAGTTCCGCGGCCTCGAGGTCACCCACCAGCTTGCGAACGAGCTCAGCTTGGTCAGTAGTCTGCTGCTGAAGCTTGGCCAGGAGGTCCGTGGCGTTAGCGAGCTTCCTCTCAATCGCCGAGGCCTTGCGCTGGGCGGCGGCGGCACGCTGGTGGACGGGGCGGACCACGCTCGCCTTGGCCAGCTCCGCCGCGTACCTGTTGGCTGTGGCTGTGTCTCCCATCTGGGTGGCCACGTCCACCAGCTTCTGGAGGTCAGCTGCCGAGACCTGCGCCGACGCGGCGCCTGCGCCCCGCCCGCGGCTGGCCGAGCGAGTCCACCTGTTGGCGCCGCGCCCAGCTCCTGCGTCACTTGTCCACGGAGCTGGCGCTGGTTCTTCAATGCGTTCTTTGCGGCAGTGCTTACACCAGGTCCAGTGCATGAGGTTCTGCCCGCATCCACAAAGGCTGCACTTCCACCGATCACCATAGCGTCCATGGGACATGTGCCGCGGGTAAACGGAGGCTGAGAAGACTGCAGAGGGTCGAGAGGCGCGCTCCCCCGAGCGCTCAGTACCTGGGCCGCGGCAGCCAGGCCTAAGGAAGGGGCTGCCCTTCCACCGCGACCTCGAGCCTCTGGAGTCGGGACCCACGGGAGGTAAGCTCCGTGAGACTTGAGCCAAAATGGCTACGGCTCCTCCTCCTCCTCCTCCTCCTCCATTTCCTCCTCCTCCTCCTGTTCCTCCTCCTTTTCCTCCTCCTTTTCCTCCTCCTCCTCCTCCTTCTCCTCCTCCTCCTCCTCCCCCTCCTCCTCCTCCTCCTTTTACTCCTCCTCCTCCTTTTTCTCCTCCTCCTCCTCCTCCTGCTCCTCCTCCTCCTCCTCATCCTCCTCCTCCTCCTCCTCCTCCAAAGTCGGTGCCTTGAGCCCTTGTGGGCGCGTTCGGCTGCTTCCAAGGGTCCCTCCCCCTGGAAGCAGTTTCTCGGAGGGCACCCAAAAGGACCCGGAGCTGACTACCTACCAGACCACCCCAACCCAACCCGAAGACCCGAATTTCGGGTTGGGGGGGGTATGGGCTCCATACGTGTTTTTTCGATGTTCCCCGACCCCCCCCCCACTGGAAATGGAGGGCAAATTGAGGCCTTCGGGTTGGGTTGGGGTGGTTTGGTAGGTGGTGAGGAGCAGATCGGGTGGGCGGATCGCGCCGCAGCGCCGATGCATCGGCGATGCACCAGTGGTGTCGGGATGGACAAGAGCGGGCTCCACTCCGCGCCGCGTCGGCGAGCCTTCGGCAGTGCCTCGCGATCCTCCGACTAGGTCCACTCCAGCCCAAAATTAGGGCAACGGGACGTACACACATCCACTGCCCCCAGGCCTGGCCCATCCTGGGGCAGTGGATGTGTACACCCTGCGAAATGCTTAAGAAATCATGGGTTAAGAAATTCATAGTCTCAGAACTTGAATAAAAACCCAAAATGTCGATTCAAATCTTAGGATTTACACTGAAACGTTAAGAATAATCGAGATTCTGGCCGAAAATTTAAGTTTTCTTAAGCATCGCCTGAGGTGTATACACATCCACTGCCCCCAGGCCTGGCCCATCCTGGGGCAGTGGATGTGTATAGACCTCCCAGCCCCACAACTCGCAGCGCGTTCCGGCTGCGTGGTGACGGGCGGGCAGTTCGGCCGCAGGCCCCCGGCAGTGCACGGTGGCACTTCGGCGGCACAAGACCTGCCGATGACGAGCCAACATCGCCCCCGCGGCCGCCTCCTCACCCTCTCTGGGGGAACGGGGAGGAGGGCGGGACGGGGAAGAGGGAGGGCGGGGGGGAAGACGAGGAACGGGGGCGGAGGGAGGGCGAGGGAGGGCGAGGGGGAAGGCGAGGAAGGGAGGGCGAGGGGGAAGGCGAGAAAGGGGGGCGGAGGAGCAGGAGAGAAGGAGGGAGGCGGGGCAGGGCCCGAGAATTGGGGGAAACGGGACATAGGTGCGATGACGGTGGGAGAGTCCTGCTCGAAGCGCACCTCCCCCTCGGGCATGCCGTCGGCCGGGGGTCCTCCCACCCCTCTCTTGGCATCTCTGGGTGCGGGGGGGGGCAAGGCCCCCTCCCCCCAGATTTCAGCCAGCCTCCATCCCTCGAGCGCGCCTGCCATCCATCCAGTTCCTGGGAGGTCCTCCCCGCCCTCCCGTCCTCTTTCCCGGCCCTTTATCATCAAAGGCGCCAGATCTTCGAGTTTCGCGCCGCGCCAACTTCACGCTCCCGCGCCGCCCACAAAGAGAGACAAGGAGGATGAGGAACCGGAGCCGAACCGCGAGGCGCGAATAAATTCGCGCCCCCGAGGGCGCGCTTGCCCTCTCTCCCAACCCTACACTAGGGCCCCCGACCACAACAAAAACCTTGTACGAAACCCAACCGTGAGACCCCAGGACGTCCATTGATTGTTGGCGTGGACGCGTCACGCTTTCCATCGCGCAAAACCATCGGAACCCCAACAACCCAGGGCACCCTGGAGGCGAACATGGTGTTCCTTGACATGGGCTTCCGCTGCACACCACTAGAACAAACTGCACTTGCGCGTGACGGCTTGCGCTGCTGAGAATTAGCTCCTGCCAGATCCTCCCCCCGCAAATTATTTCGTAAGCTCCTCCTGCTAGATACTCCTGATCCTGCTAGATCCTCCAAGTAACGCACGGTACACACGCGAGTGTTTGGGCGGGGGTGCGGGGAGTTCGCCTGGCGCCCGGCCGTGGACGCGCCTCGCCCGCGAACCCCCTGCGCTCGGCGGGCGTGCCAAATTCTTTGCTCGGCCGACGCCCGCCCGCGGGCGCCTCGTGGGCGCCCCTGCTGCTGCCAGTGCGGCTGCTGCTGCGACGGGCGCCGCTGCGACTGCGACTGGCCAGAAAGAGGAGGAGGCAGGATGGATGAAGGAGGCGAGGAGGAGGAAGAGGAGGAGGAGGAAAGATCAGGACATATCAGAGAGCGCCCCAGGGTGCGGCCACCGCTTCGGGAGATGCTCGCCGCGGCGAGGTACAATTACAAGCGGTCGCGGGAGCGCGGCACGGCAACGGGCACTACAGGGGCGAGCGCCACCAAACCTATGGAAAAGTAGGCCGAGTCAACCCGACGAGCCTGAGTCGAAGCCGCCCAGTGACGGTGGCTGCCCATCACGAGAAGACTCGGCGAAAGGTCTGGCCATGCGCACGCAATGCTGCCGCGCTGCTGCGTCGGCGCGCGGCGCGCAGCTAGATGCGCACCAGTGCCGCGCAAATGAATGCGGAAAGCTGGCGGGCATGCCTGTTCAGCCGAAACTAAGCAAGACGGAGAAACAGGCGGGCTCGGGTCAACCCCCGCCTCGCTGGCAGAGCAAGGGATGAGGTAGTCGAAAGAGGCGCTGGAAAGTACCTCGACGGCCCTGCAACACCAGAGGCCCTTGGCGGCGGTGGGGGACACCAGCGCCGCCAAACAAAATCGCTAATTGCCCAGCAGCAACAGCGGGGCGGGCGAGACAACGCGCCCCTCAGGCCGACGCCCCCCCAAGAGCGCCACAGACACGTCAACGACGATCTGTCGGAATCATCGGAGAGATCCGGCGGCATGGAGTGTGAATGCTGGGCGTCCAACCCGCGCCAGACAGCCACCGTGTCGCGCATTGGCGCCGCATGGCCAGCAGGACGACGGGGGGTGGAAGGCCTTGCTGCTGCCGCCTGGCCCTGCGTGCTGGGGAGAGCGCGTGTCGGGCCAACGTCAGCTCGAGCGGCCGGCTGGCCTGCAGGGGCGCGCTCCCCCCCTGGACAGAGTGAGCTGGAGGAGGCGCGAGGCCTTGCAACCTCCTCCTTGCGAGAGACGGTAGGGGAAGCGGCTCCCGAGCCGACCTCGGCGGCCTCGCCTCGGCTTGGGGCGCAGGCCGCAGGAGAGGGCTGGCTCGGCGCCGCGCAGCCCCGGCACGCCCCCCCCCCCCCCCCGGGGCGCCACAGGGCCAGGCGGGTCCGAGGCGCGCGGGACCTCGGCCCCAGGAGGCGGCGTCTGCTGGGAGAGCGACTCGGACGCATCGGCCGACGCGCCAGCGCTGGCCTCGGCAGCCGAGGCAGCGCGGCGGCCAGCCTTGACGCGCGAGGTTAGCCCATCGCGTCCAGCGTGGGCCCGCGCGAATTCCCTGCGATCGATCTTCGCGGGTTCTCGCAGCCTTTCTTGGCGATGCCAGCGCGCGCGGCCGCGACGTGGCGAAGGTCTCTCGGGCGGTGCCCCCCCGCGCACACTGCGCAAATACAACAGGTATCTCTGCATAATGCAATTTGCGAGACGCATGGAGCACCCGTCCGCGCGCCATCGCGGGGAGGCCGGCAGGGGCGATGGCATCGCCGGCAGCGGGGGCGGGGGCGCGCGCCGCGCGCAGGGCGCCGCGCGCCACTAGGGCGCGGCTCTGCGCGGCCGAGTCCCCGCGCGCAGTGCGCCCGAACTCGCTGCCGCAAGGCTCGCGCTCATGTTGGCTGTCCTGGAGGGCCCGCCGGGGCCTGCACGGCCCCTTCGCCTTGGCCGTCGACCCGCGCAGACAACCAGGGGCCCGCCGCCGTGGCATCAGCCGCAGCCCTACGAGCTCTTCGACGAATCAACGCGCGTTGGGCATCGCGCAGGTCGGTGGGCAGGGCCGCGCCCACCAAGGCTCTCTGCAACGAAATGCGCGCCGCCTCGCCGGCCCAGGAGTCGGCGCACGCGTTGCCAGTCATGAGGAAGGCCTTGCGGGGGTCGCGGGCGAGAGCCGCAATATCTTCATTGCGTGAGGGGGTCCGTCCTGTACCCCTCCGCGCGCCCCATGTACTTCGGGCGCCCAACGACGGGGACCTGGCGCGTCTCGAAGATCGCGAGCTCCACCGTGGCGACCCACTGGGCGTAGGGCGCATTGACAAACGAGGCCTCCTCACCGCGTCGGCGGTGGACCAAATGGACGCGCCCGCGCCGAGCCCCGACTCGCACGCCGCCGAACTGGGGGAAGGTCTTCAAAAAACTTGAGGCCGCCTCCCAGTCCCCAACGGACACCGCGACTCTGGTGGCGTTCACTGGGGGGACCTCTATGGTCTCGGTGTAGTTCACGTCGAATTATCCATCTAGGTGTTCGTCCCTGCGCTGAGGCAACGCTATCGTATCGCCTTGGCCATGGACCTCTTGTTGTCAGGGCCCGCTGCCCGCTCGGGCCGCGCGCGCGCCGGTGGGGCACGCGGCGCCTTCGGACACTTGTACTGCCGGGACTGGTTAGCCCCGCGCGCGACCACGATGCCGCCATGGGTCTTCCAGGGTGCCTGGTAGACGGGCTGCAACTTGAGGGCCCCGCGACGTTGCTGAGCGATGCCGCGGTCGCAGATGGAGCCCCTGCGTTTGTCGCGCGTGACAGCGCGGCCCTCTGGTGCAAGGATGGGCGAGTTCAACCGCCCTGACCGCGGCTTGTCGACCCACCGCGGTGGCTCGTAGTTCCAATCCGCCAGAACCGGCCAAGGGCCCCGCGCCGCGTTCAGGAATGTGGCGAGGCTCACGAAGATGTCGGGGTTGGCTCCCTGATCGCGGAGCCCTGGACTCAGGCGCGCCAAAATGACGACCGGGTCGCCGTCCGCGGTGAGCAGAGCGCACTGCGAGGAGCCGACGAAGGGCCTCTTCTTGTGCTGGCCGACGCAGTAGCTGCGGAGCACCTCGAAGGACGCGTCTGCGACGCCCCGTCTGGCCAGGGCCATGCCACCTCCATGCGCGCCTCGCTGAGACTTGCGCGCGGCGATCGCATGCGTCGCGGCGACCTTCCACCCATCCGCTGCCAGCGGGCCCCCCGCCGCGTCGAGGTTGCGCGCCGACGCGCGCGTCTCCGCCAGCGCGATGGCGCGGTAGCGCTTGCCCTCGCCCCCCGCGAAGGCTGCGGCTTGTGGCCCCGCTCAGCGCCGCCACCGACGAAGACGGCGGGCTTCGCCCCCCCTGACGCGGGGCTTGCTAAACAGCCCTGGGCGAGGCCCAGGGGCGCCAGCGCCGGGGGCCTTCGCGCCGCTGCCGACACCATACTGAACGGCTGCGCGCGCCTGCAGGAACGCCTCGGCGTCCGCGCGGATGACCTCGGCGGCGGACTGCACGTCCGCTTCGGAAGGCTCGTCGGCCGCCATGGGCGCGGGGCCGTCGCTGCTTGCGGCGCCGCCCGTGGACGCGGAGGTGGCGGCAAACGCGGGTGGGGCAGGTGGGGCAACTCCATCGTCGTCGGCAGCGGCCGCGTCTTGTCCGCCGTCAGACCCAGCCGCTGCTTCGCCAACTCCTCCGCCTGGACACATCCTGCGCTTGCGCTTGTTGGGGGTGGCCTCCGTCTCCTTCGCCTCTCAAACCCGCTCCTGCGCTTCGTTGAGTGCCTTGCCGCGGTGGTCCAGGTCTGTCATCCATTCCAGCAGGGGGTCGTCGGTGGCGACGGCCTCGCGCGCCTGCGGGGCCCCTCGGGTGAAGCAGAGCTTGGCCTTGACCGCCTCCTGCGCCCTGGTGCCGTCAACCTTCGCCTTGGCCAGGTCGAGCGCCGCCTGCTGACGCTTCTGCCCCTCGGGCGCGGCGAGCCAGTCCCCGGCGTCCGCGACGTCCTCCACGAGCATGTCGAGGCGAGCCTTGCGGTTGCTGAGGATGGCCAGCGCGGACTGCAGCGCCTGCTCCTCCGACTTGGCGGAGGCTAAGGAGCGGGCTTGCGCGCTGCCTGCAGAGGAGCGAGCAGCTGTTTCTGTGGGCCGTCGTCACCGACGAAGTTGGCCTCCGCGTCGAGGACCTGGCCCGTCGCGAGTGGCTTCTGGCGCTGCTGCCGCCGCAGGAGTGGCACGCCTGCTCGAGCACTGGCAGGCTGCCGATGCTCCCCTGGCGTCGGAGCAAGGGGCTTGCCACGGCGGAAGCAGTCCGCCTTCCCCTTCCACGTCCAGCGGCGGCGACGCAGCTAGCAGACCGCGCGCCACTTCTCGAGCCTGGAACTCCGGCCGCGCCCCGCGTCGCCGCCCGCGCCCCCGCTGCCGGCTGCCGCTGCCGAGCGCCGAGCGCCCCTGCCGCCATTTGCGCCGTCC